AAGGGAATGTGTCCTGACTGGAAATGAACCTGCAACCAATTTGTGTAGAACGATGCTCAACAACTGAGCCATCTCGCAGGCGTATCTTATTTACACCCGTAAATTCCCCACAACGAACGACGAATTCATCAGCATCACAGAAGCGACTAGATGGCATCTCTGCATATCCAGGAATGATGTAAGTTTTGATGTGTCCATACCATCTTTTATACCATCCTGTGTTTCGTTGGTCACTGTGCTATACGGATGCATTTGAGTTTTGCAATTTGATTTTGTCTCTAGAAACCTTGCTGACTCTCTTCTCAAGCCCCTACATGTATCTGTATGTACGTGTGGATTTTCCTATATAGACACAATCCTTGATGGAGAAAGTCAGCTTCATTTTCTTTGGAATTTCCATAGCTTTTACTTATTGCTCTTGCCTTGCTGGACTCGGACCCGGTGCTGCTGCGTTAGGTGTGGGGCTTGCTGAGCTCACCCTCTATCCCGACAGGGGAGCCTCCTGCATCCCTAGCTGACTGTGATGTTATCCTGAAGGCCTCTGACATCCCCCCCGCGCTCACTGGTTCCTCCCTTGAGATCCCATCAGTCAAGGGCAGCGAGGACACACAGAAGCCCCACTATGTGCTCCAGCAGCGGGAATGGAATGTCAGGGTTTGTGATGCCCAGGCTGGGACACAGATGGAGCAGAAAGGGACACTTCCCATCAGCCTGGGTGGGGCTCTGAACAGGGACCCAGCGATGAGGGGCCAGGAAGGTGGATTTTCATGAACTTTCAGGCGACAGCGCTGCTGCTGTGCTGAGGCCCCACCAAATGGGGCGTCCGTTTCCGATGGGGCTTGTGGGCCCTCGCTGTCCCTCAGACACTCAGACCCTCGAGACAACACAGGAGCGTCCCACGTCCCCAAGAAGCCCTCAGAGCCAAGGCCTTTACCACTCAGCTCTGCCCCTGGGTTCCACCCTCCACTGGACTTGGGTCTAAATTCCTCTCTGATTTGCTCCCACTTAGCCTAAAAAAATATTAAAACTATCGTTTTCCAGAATGTTCAACAGTTCCAGCTGGAGGGCGGGTCCCCCTGAGTCCCCAGGACCAGCTCTGAGTGTTCTGGCCCCTGGGCGACCTCCCTCCCCACTTACACATCCTCTGCAACGGGGTCACTTTCAGATTCACATCTGGACAAGCCACTGAGCCTCCCAGGGCCTCAGTACATTTACCTGCAGGGTCATGGAGTGGGGGTGGGGTTGGGGGAGGGGAGACAGGAAGATTTCTCAGCCACCACACCCCCCAACTCCAGTGGAGGCCAAGTTCCCCTTCCAGCCTGGCCACAGTCTCTCCCCCAGAGCTTCCTGTTGGGGAGTCCTAGGCCCCACCCCAGAGCTGGGCACTTCGCTCCCTGACACAGGAACTGGGACCCACTCTGCCCTGCCAGAGGCAGACATGGTGCCCCTGCTGCTGCTGCTGCCCCTGCTGTGGGGGGGTGAGTGACTGAGGGAGGGGGGCTGGGCAGCTGGAGGAGGGGCGGGGGCTGCATCTGAGCCTCTGTGTCCTCCTCCCCCAGGGTCCCTGCAGCAGCCACCAGGCTATGGGATCAAAGTGCAGGAAT